GCCTAAAGCTTAAGTTTTAACTGAGAATCTTGCATTTTGTCTGGTAACCATAGCTCAGAACCCTCCCATGGCCCCCCAAACACGTGGTATGGCCTAGAACGCTTTCCAAATCTGCCCCCCACTTCATCTCGTACCGCTCTCCCCCTTGCTCACTCTGCTTCACCCATGCCAGCCTCCTCACTGTTCCTGGAAAACGTCAAGTACCTCCTGCCCCAGGGCCTTTGCTCTTGCTGTTTCCTCTGCTTGGAATGCCCCTTACCCAAATTTAAGCATGACTTCCCTCCTTTCTTCAGGTTTTGGCTCAAATGTCACCTTACCCAAGAGGCCTAGCCTGGCTAAACCCTCCCCTCCCCCACCAGCCTGCTCCATCTCCTTAGGTTTTTCAGCATTTATCGCCACTTGACATACTCCATATTCCTTTGTTTATTGTCTGTTTTTCTCCACTAGAATGTCAGCCCCTGAGGGCAGGATTTGTGTCTGTTTTGGTCACTGCTATATGGACAGTGCCTATAACTGGGCCCTGCAGGTGCATAATGGATGTTTGTTGAATGAATGAAGGAATAAAATGAAGACATTGGTGAGCCCCTGGATCCAGCTATGCCTGAAGCCCATCTTGTGAAATGGGATAGGAACATACAAGCAAGTGTCCCTCTAGCCTACACTTCTATCTCTGAGACCAGGTCATGGCTGGTGGATTTCTTGCTGGCCACACTTTCATCCTTGTCCTGGGACTCCCTCAGGGCCCAGTGACATGCAGCAGGCAGAGATCGGCAGAGGTGAGCCCGCCCGAAATACAGGAAGAGCACAGGATTGAGGCAGCTGTGAGCCAGGGCAAGGCCCACGACCAGGGGATCAGCCCGCAGGGCTTGGGCCATGAGCGCAGAGTTCGGGGCAGCCACGGCAAGTACCAGTCCCAGCAAGTGATAGGGAGCCCAGCAGACGAAAAACCCCACCACGATGACCGTGCCCAGCGGCCAACGGCGTTGGGCTGCGTGGCACAGGAGGGCACCGTGGCAGCTGGCCACCACCACCAGAGGCCCCAAGAAGCCAAAAATAAACCGGGTGGCAGTCACTGCGACCTCGATCCTGGCTGAGCCGCCGTAGTCCACCACACACTCCAGCCGGGCAGGGAAGTGCTCCTGGTGCAGCCGGCGGTAGACAGCAGAGGGCACGGTGAGCAGCAAGGCCAGCATCCAGGCCGCCACGCAGGCCACCTGCACCCCCCGTGTCCGCTGAGCTGCTGCCCACCAGGTGGGCCTGAACGCCAGCAGGCAGAAGTCAGCGCTGAGAGCGGCCAGGAGCAGGACGCTGGCGTACATGGACAGCAGGATGACCGAGGGCAGCACCCGACAGCCCACTGCCCCGTATGGCCAGTGGCCCCTACTGGCAATGGGCACAGCCAGGATGGGGAGAGACACACAGCAGAGCAGATCCGCTGCGGCCAGGTGGAGCAGCCAGGTGGCACCGACCCTCTGGCGGGCCTCCTTTCTGGCCACCCAGGCCACCATGGCGTTGCCTGGCACCCCCACCAGGAAGACAGCAGCATACAGCAGCAGCGAGGCCACACGGAGCGAGCCGATGGAGTGGCAGGCGCCGTCCAGGCAGTCCACGGGGAGATCCCCAATGTCGCCGTAATCCCCGTACTCGTAGCTGAGAGACGCGTTCTCCATTCAGACGCCTGGACAGGAAAGAAACAGGACGAAGACCCAGTGAAGGCGATGCTAAGGCCCTGGGAACCCTGGGTGTTGGCAGCCCAGCCCATCAGCGCCTTCCAGACTGGAATAGCACGACGCTAGAACCACAGCACATCAGAGCACTGGAATTCTGGAGTGCTACAGTGTTAGAACATCTCGGAATTCTAGAATATTCCAATGCTAGAACTCTACCTTGATAAAACTCTCAGAATTCCAAAATATTAAACTATTAGAACCCTAGCCAGGTATTATTTGGAGCTCTAGGGCAGCAGTGACCAATAGGACTTGCAATGCTCTTTCTCTGTGCCGTCCAGTGTGCCAGCTGCCAGCCACATGTGGCCGCCTCTTTCAAACGCGGCAAGTGCAACCGAGGAACTGAATTTTCCATTTTCATCGATTTTATTTATTTAATTGCAATAGCTAGCGTGGCCAGTGGCTACTTATTGGACAGTGAAGTTCTAGCATATTGAAATGTTACAACACCAGCGTGTTAGCAACCTGGAATTCTAGAATTTAAATTACTAAATATCTAAAATATCAAACGGGGAAAATGTAAGTATGTATTCACAGCAAAGGTATTTGTCTTGGTTCCTCTTCATCTGCATTTTCTAATCTTGGTGCAATGACAATGTACCTCTCAAGCAATTTTTTCATCTTTGTTTATATAAACTATATATGTTTTCCTATAACATGCAGACAGCAAGGTGCACACATCACGCAAGGTACAGCTCACTGGGTTTTACAGCCTGAACACATCTGTGTAGCTAACACCCACATCAACACGCAGAATATTCTAGAATACTACTAGAGCGATTTTAAAAAGTAGTGATGACCGGGCATGGTGCCTATAGTCCCAGCTACTTGGGAGGCTGAGGTGGCAGGATCAGTTGAGCCCAGGAGTTAGAGGCTGCAGTGAGCTATGATCGAACAGAGAGAGACCCTATCTCAAAAGCATAAAATAAAACAAAAACATAAAATGTAATAATAATGTTAGCAAAGCAGGGAAAATAAAATGAATTCTCTGTCATTCATTCATTCACTCATTCACTTATTCAACACTCTTCCTGAGTGCCTATTCTGTTCCAGGTACTGTTCCAGGTACTGAGGCACAGCAGGGGGACAAGGCAGACAAGCGGGCACTCCAGTGGGAAGAGTCAGGCAGTAAAGAAAGAAAGAAACAAAATCCTCAGGATTTTAGAAGGTGAACAACATATGGAGAAGAATCGCACAGGAAGCTGGCTGTGGTCAGGGAAGGCTTCGCTGAGAAGGTGACGTTTGCGTAAAAGCCTAAAGGAATTGAAGGAGGGAGATGCGTGGAGGTGGGGGGTGGTCCAGGCAAAGAGAACAGCCAGTGCAAAAGCCCTGGGATGGGACATGATGCTCATGCTCAAGGAACTGCGAGGAGGCCAGTGTGGCCGGCATGGAACAGGCGAGCGGGAGAAGGTAGGAGGTAAGAACAGAGTTATCAGGGCCAAGATCACGTGGGGCCACATGACGTGTCCTAGGGACTTTATCTCTTATTCCAAATGAGACGGGAGCTGTCGGAGGGTGCTGAGCCGAAAAGCGACATCATCTATCATATTATAGCAATAATAATGACATTATTATCATTATGACAAACCACCACGTATTGAACACTTTGTGTTACGTGCCAGGCATTGCTCCAAGCAGCTTTAAACACTGTATCCTTTAGTGTCTGTCACTGACTGAATTTGACACTGTTGTTATGCTCCTTCCGCAGAGGAGCAAACTGAAGCACAGAGAAGTTAAGTAACTTACCTAAGGTCACTCAGCTAAGTGGGCAACAGAGCTGAGTTTCCAACTGTGTTCGTGCCACTGCGGAGCCCTGTGTCCTAGGATATTGTGACCCCAAACACTTGGGAGACTCTGGAGCTGGGCGGCAGAACAGCCGGTGGCCCTGAGCAGACCTCGGCTCCGTGACCATGAGTGACAGACACTTGCAGTTGACTGTCTCGCTTTCCTCCAGGTGAACAGGGCCCTGGGGAACGAGCATGTGGAAAGCACGTGTTGCACAGAACGAGGCTTCGGGTAGGAGAAGCTTTGGGGAGGACAGGATCTTGGAGTCCCCGTCCCCCCGACTCAGTGTCAGAGTGGCCCGGCCCTCTGGCTCTCCGCTGACTCTTCTGGCTGGGCTGGCACTGCCCAGAGCTCCAGCTGGTGTTGACACACAGGAAGGACAGAGAGGAAGTTGGGACACTCCTCTGCACGCCCCCCCCTCCACCCTGCCGGGTAGCATAAGAGGCCAAGCCACTTTCTGTGTGTTTAGAGTGTGGCTCTCTGCTTTCGTATTATTTCTGCCCCCTAGAGTCGCACGCGTGCAGAATTTAAAACCTTCAAGCCCCCCACCAGCTGTGTGGCACTGGGCACACCACCTAACCTCTCTGTGCCTCCGAAAAATCGGAATAATAATATACCTACCTTAGAAGGTGTTCCTTAGAGGCTGTTGTAACAATTCAACGAGTTAACAAGAGCGAAAAGCCCAGCAACACTGGCCCACAGTGGCGTCACATGTGTGCCAGCTCTGTTATCACTGTCCCTACGCTGCCTCTGTCTCCCCTCTCAGATCCCGCCCTGCCCAGCTCTTCTGATTACAGACAGTCCAGGAAACAGGAAACTTTCTTCACATCAGCAGCGATATCAGCCTATGGCATTTCTTCTGTGACAGTTTAACCCGAAACGGGTGCTCTCAACTCTCGCTGTTTCATCTCTTCATCTTTGCACTTAATCCGTTTTAGATCTGTTTCCCTGTCACCTGTCTGTACGCGCATCAATCCGATTCTTCACAAAAGCTTCAAAAGCGGTCCACCGGCTGCACGGGTCATGCTTACTAACCAGTTGCAGACTAAAGGACCCTTAATAGTAATGACAATCATGACAAGCGTTATTATCGTATGACTTGTTACAATAAACAAATTCCCTTTGTATGTTTACCTACAGATGGTCCCCGACTTACAATGGATGGCCCGAATGACTTTTTGACTTTCCCACGGTGCGAAAGCGACATGCATTCAGTAGAAACCATCCTCCAGGTACCCCCAGCCATTCTGTTTTTCATCTTCGGTGCAGTATTTAATAAATTACATGAGATATTCAACACTGTATTGTTTTTTCAGGGGAGGGCTTGAGACAGAGTCTCGCTCTGTCACCCAGGCTGGAGTGCAGTCATGCGATCATAGCTCACTGTGACCTTGAACTTCTGGGCTCGAGCGATCTTCCTGCTTTAGCCTTCCACGTAGCTGGGACTACCGGTTCGTGCCACCACATCCAGCTAATTTTTGTATTTTTTTTAGAGATGGGTTCTTGCTATGTTGCCCAGGCTGGTCTTAAACTCCGGGACTCAAGTGATCCCCTGTCTTAGTCTCCCAAAGTGCTGGGATTATAGATGTGAGCCACCGTGCCCAGCCCGTTTGGATCCTTTGACCGAAGCTCTGCTGTTGGGCTGCCCAAGTTAATTCCGAGACTCTGGGACTCTGGCGTGGATTCCAACATGCTGGTATTAATAATAAGATTGTACTTCCCAAAGTCCAGTTCTGACTCCTAGATTCTGAAAGTAACGATTCTAAAGAGGCCAAGATCGTGGAATCCCTCCCATTTCCTCCTTCCCTCCCTCGTTCCCTCCATCCTTACCGTCTCTTCCAGGAAGGTCCCCAATTTTGCCAAATGCCACTTACTTGGGAGCACAATCCCAGCCCCCGGCCAGGGCCCAGGAGGTCTGGGTCTCTCCCCGTGTCTGGCAGCTGCTGGAGTCCTGGGAAGCCACCCTGTGTGCCAGGGCTCCTGTCGGACACTTCTGGCACTGCCACCTCCCCGGCCCCAGTGAACCTTCATGAGCAGGAAAAAACAGGAGTGGCCTTTCCCAGTCCCAGGGTGTGTTTGTCCTGGCTTCTTCCCATGACTCACATAGCCCAAAATTATGGGGCAGCCGGCGAGGCTGGAGAGGGCTCGGGTGGCGGGAAAGCTGACTTTGTGTTTGTGTCCCCAACACTAATCTCGAAGTCCCATTTCCTGGAAGCCAGACTTAGTGTGGTTTGACCTTCAAGGCCTGGAGGGCTGGGCCTGGACGAGGTCTCCCCACAGCGCGCCGCTGCCCACTAACCCCCGCCAGGCCACCCTTCTGCCCTCTGCAGGACACATAAAATATTCCTCCCACCTCATATGCCTTGAGGAAGACAGCCCTGGGTCACAACCTCCTCCGGCCTGAAGCCTCAACAGTAGACAAAACACAGACAAGTCCTGTCCCCACCCTGGGCCTCAATTTTCCATCTATAAAATGGGAAGATGCTGGCCGTAGTGGTTCTTAACCTCCTCTCGCAGCGCAGCACAGTGGCTGAGAACAAGGACTCCGAGGGCCAGACTGATAAGATTCGTGCTCCAGCTCCACCCTCGGCAAGTTTCAGGGTCTCGGCCGCTCTGAGCCTCGACTTTCCTCATCTGTGAAGTGGACGGTTGCAATGTGCACTGAACAGATCGCAAACACGAATAACAGCGCCTGGCACACAAGATATGCGGTGTGCGTGTTAACAACAACAAAGAATGTCATATAGATTCTTAAAATACACACCCACACGGCACAGGCCTAGCGAGAGGAAGCGGCTCCCACTCCTGCTTCGAAATCTCACTGCTCAGCACTTCTCAGCGTTCGTGCTTCTCTCTGCGCATGCTTCGGGGATTGAGGGGATGTATTTGTGCATTTCTCTTGTTGTTGGTTTAGGGAATAAACTCCTGTTGTTAGAGGAACTTATTTCTGAGGCAAGAGGCCAGGGCTCGTATCCGACCCAGGGCGTCTCCTGTCCCCTCTCTGAGTGACCCTGCCCTGGGTAGAGACAAACATCCCCTTAGTCCCCCCTCCGCCCCTGTCTGTCCTCGTCACCCACATCCTGCCAGCCTCAGGCCCCCGCGGGAACCCGCCCTGGTTGGGAAGAGGTTGGAGGGAGGCTATCCAACAGCTCAAACTTTCTCTGACCCGAGGCGTTTATAGTGGTCTGTTTCTCAGATCACTTGATCTTAATAAACTCCTTACCTAGCCACTGAGTCTCTGGGCATGAGTCTCAGATATTCTGGGAGGCAAAGGTTTTCTGGTGTCCCTGGAGCAGGGGGCTCTTCCCTGGGGGTCTGGGGTTTGCTGTGGGCCAAAGGCAGGGTCTCTGCAGGCCTCGGAAGGCAGGAGAGTGGGCAGTCTGTGCAGGGGGGTTTCTCTCTCAGCAACCCCCAAGAAATGCTGAGTACCAGCCCCTCAACTCCCTGGCCATTTCCAGTTCTTTGAATGAGAACATTCTAGAAGGTTAATTAAGTTTATCCATATAAACTACCATTTTTATAGATCAAAAAAGGTTGAATTTCAGCAAACCCATGAGAAGTCAGAATGCAGATCAGTGATCACCAAGGGGTAAGGGGAGTAGGGAATAGGGAGTGACTTTTTCATGGGTATGGGGTTTCCTTCTGCAGTGAGGAGAATGTTCTGGAACTAGATAGCAGAAGCAGCTATACAACATTGTGAATGTACAAAATGCCACTAGTGTGCATTTTACCACAATTTTCAAAAGCAATAAATAAATAATTACACCCCCTCACCCCAAAATAGGTTCAATTTTGGCAATTTCGTAGAGTTCAACCTGATGAAATTACAGGAGCCTGACAGGATGAATGTCTAAGACAGGGGAGCCGAGTCTTTTTTCTCTTTTGAACAATATAATATAGAACAATATATATTATGTGACACGATGCGTGGAAAAGAATGTCTTATCATATATGCAAATCATAAAGCACAACCATAAAAGGAACATCAGTGAAACCACCATCATTCTTAGAATCTTCCGTTATCTAAATCAAGGATTGGTAAATACTTGCTGTCAAGGGCCCCAGAGAGTAAATATTTTTACTTTTGCCAGTTGAGACGTCATTTGAGCTCTGTCACAATGACTCAGCTCTGCCCTGGCAACATGAAAGCCTCCATAGATAAATGGGCATGGCCTGTGTTCCAATAAAACTTTATTTACAAAAACAAGCAACGGGCCAGAGTTTGCTGACCCCCGATCTAAATCAAAGGCTCTGAAGGCTAGAATATTAGAATCACAGACTCTTAGAATGTTGGGATCACAGGCTATCGGACCCAAGGGAGCCTATGATGTGAATTACAGATTACTTGAATCGCATGATTCTAGAATGTTCTAGATTCCAGATTCTGGAGCCTTGAAGGGTTAGAAGCACAGAGCTCCAGCAATCAGATATTAGAATTTTGTAAACGCTTTGGAGCATCAGTCAAGGAAGTCCAGCCCTGAGCCGTTTGACACTCACGGCCACTGGCCACATGAGGCTACTGAGTATTAGAAATATGTCAGGTCTAAGGTCAGAAGTGCTGTTAAGTGAAAAATTCACGCCAGATTTCAAAGACTTAGTACAAAAAGAAAAAAGAATATGAACTCTCTCAAGAATTTTTTTATATTGACCACATATTGAAATGATACTCTCTGAACTATATAGGATTAAATACAATATATTACTACAATTAATTTTATCTGATTGCTTTTGTTTCTTTGTGCTTGTCTTTTACTTGCCTGCTGGGAAATATAAGATCACGCAGGAGGCTCTATATTATACACTGTATTATTATACGCTATATTTTATACACTATATTTTCATTAGGCTGTACCCATCTAGAGTGACACCCTCCAGGCTCTAGGAGGGGTGAGGCTCAGAAAGGTCACGTGGCGCAGTTGCAGAGGAGGAGAACTGAGGGGTACAGCTGGCTCAGCCAAGCCCATCTCCCACTTCCCTTCCCCATCACTTCCCCTTTGGCGCTTGTTGACCCAGCAGATTCTCCAGGCCGCAGATTTGGCCATCCTCTAGCCCTTGGCCCACTTCCCTCCTGGGCAGGGTTTGTCAACACCGGGTGGAGGCTACCTCGGGAAGGCCACCTGGATCCTACTCATCAGCCTCCAAGTGTTTCTAGAAGATCATTGTGGGGCCCATCTCTTGGGACAGTATCTCTTTCCTGAATCAGGGTGGGGGGAAAATACTTGCTGCCTACAACCCACTCCCCAAACCAGGAAAGCTATAGCATGACCAGGAACAGAGAGGAAGTGTAAGGGCTGGGGAGGCAGAGGAGGCAGTCAGGGAGGACTTCCTGGAGGACGCTGCACCCCCAAAAGAAGGTAAATGGGGACAAACGACCTGTGAAAAACAGGCTAGGCAGCCAGGAGATCAGGGAAGAGGCGAGGCGGGGGCCCCCACGGGGAGAGGATGGAGGGCTTGGACCACACAGGCCATGGGGTGTAAAGGAGGTGGCATCCAGGGTGGGTCCCGGGAGCAGGTCTGGGTGACTGGGCAGACAGTAGGGTTGTCCCTGCGATGGGGAGGCAAGGAGAGGAAGAGGTTTGGGGGAGAATGCTGAGGTCAGTTTGGGTGCGGTGAGTGGGTGGGGAGCCCAGGTGTGGTCAGAGATGTTGAAGGTATTGGGTGACGTCACCAGCGTGTGCAAGAAGCGAGTTGGAGAGAGAGTTCAGGAAAGCAAACACTGAAGACAAAGAAACTCTGCAAAGGAGGCAGGATCAAGCGAAGAGGCAGAAGTACCTGCCAGGTCGGGAGCAGCCAGGGAGGAGGTAGGGTTCAGGTCCTCCCCAGTGACCTCAGTGCCAGGGGGTCTGCACCAGTGAATGCAAAGTCTCAGAGCAAATTTGTCTCAGGTACCAACATTTACTCTCAAGTGGGCACAGATACTATACACAGCCTCTTCCGGAAGCTCAGCGGAGTGTGGCATCTGTCCTAGGCGCTCAATTTTTTTGGGGGGGGGAGATGGGATCTTGCTCTGTTACCCAGGCATGAGTGCAGTGCTCACGATCATAGCTCGCTGTGACCTTGAACTCCTGGGCTCAAGTGATCCTCCCGCCTCAGCCTCCTGAGCGGCTGGACTACAGGCATGCACCGCCGAGCCGAGCTGGACAGTGTCTTTTAATAAGAGGTGTAGCCAAGGCAGCCCTGACAGTACTGTAGCGCCAGGATCTAGCTACTTTTTGCACCAGAATCAGGCAAAATCTTGGCCCAGTGCCCCCC